ATTGTAGTGTACTCAATCAATTACTGTCTACATGAGCTTCTAATCTACGCCTTTTCCTTGAATAATTACTACCTTTTCCATTACATTCGTCTCAGTTATCTATTTATAGCATGATGAATGTATCATAGTATGTACCGGTATATCTATGTGAGAGAACATACATGTTCGTAACATTGTATCCATAACTACTTTGTTCATATTATTCAAACATATTTTCATTTTCCCCTGTTTAATAGAACATAATTTAACATATTTTATGTTCGCGACATTGTATGTACAAATGATTTTTACACACATTGATATATTCTATAATACGCTTTGTCATGTTTAAGAGAACATAATTTATGTTGAACATCACAGTTCATGTTCGCAACATTATATTTACATTATATACACATTGTTCTTGACTGTCTAAGAGAACATAAGTGTTCATAACATTGTACTTACTTTCTAACATTTTGCTAGCATGCAATATTTGTTCCCGGTTTATGAAAACATTGTTCAATTTAAAGTGATCCACCATATTTTATGTCCGCCACATTGTACGTACACATGATATCTATACACATACTTCTACTCTACAATATTATATGTCTTGTTTAAAAGAACATAACTTACGTTGGACATCACATTTTAAGTTCGCAACAATATATTTATAATTGTTTCTACGTATAACACATTTTATCGTGAGAACAGCATTGATGTTGAACGTAATCTCCACGTAATCTTTGTTATATCTAAGAGAGTATACTAGATATCTCGATTGAAGCCTTCGTATTTACATTTATTTTTTACACTTTAGTCTAGTCTAGAATATTAGTTTTGTATACGAAAATATATACTATAGAAAACAATTTATGTTCGTATAAACATTGTATTTACATTTTCTTGATTTGCATATTGTTGCATATGCTATTTAAAATGCACATTGTTCTATTAGACGTTAGCTAGACGCAAGAAACATACTGTATGTTGAACATAGCGTTTTATGTATAGCAGATTTGTACAGACCATTATGTTGAAATGATGCTGAGTGATATGCTTTGAATTCTGACTTAATTATGGTGTAATGCGGGAGTATAACATAAATAACTATACGTGCGTATAGCACTTGGACGGAGACAATCGACTAATGAGACAATACGCCATATTAGTCTACACAATGTAATGTATTACATTACTGAATAAAAATGTTTTTTTCTTTTTTTCAGTAGCGTCATTTTCATTGAACTTAAATTCTCAGTTTTGATATGCGTGCTTTTTGAATGTATATTTTGTCGTTGAAAAACAGCAGAAAACTTTATGAAACATCTTTATCGCGACGTTTCTTAACCAGCGCCCACAACGGCAAATAAATAAATTCTTTTGTTTTTACACGTCTGCTACAAGGGATCTGTCGTTACGTTACTGTCGTCGTTGTTTCGTTTCAGTTTACTCTCGGAACTGTTTTTCAGTATATCCGGCAAGTCGTGGTTTATCGGGACACTGTCGCTAAGGAATAAATGGGGCGACCTGACGAAACTTTCAATGCTTTCTTGAACGTTCCTCAGACCTTCTTCGTCCTTTAACTTCCCGTTATTGTCAGCGAATAAGTTGACACTGCTCAAGAAGTAGTGATTCAATCGACGAGCAGATACCCACTGTAGAAGTCTTCGAACAATTGAAATAAAACGAATGGGGAGTTTGTCTCGTATCCAGTCCACCGTGAAGGACCACTCTTCACATTGCCAAAGAAGAGCCGTCTGAAAAAACAAAAAAAACAAGTGTTTTTAACTACAATATATAACAACTATACAATACATAACGAAAAAAGCTTCAACGTTTAACACCGCGCCCCGTTCAATATGGTTCTAACATGAAGTATAGGAATTTAGAACGCGCATAGCATTGTATGACGAATCTCCCCCTTGTTACAGACTCTGATAATTCAATAAAAACAAGTATATCGATCTAATTTGTGAAAGGTGACTGACATTGACTTATGATCTGGATGAGATAATAATCATGTTTGCTATCACAAATAACTGAAGGGCGTACGACAGCGCACCTGCAACTCACGCTGAGAAAAGGGAAGTCAGTTACCAGAAATTTACATTTGCTCTCCCGCTTAACGGCGTTGAATAATTGAATCGTCAATCACTACAAGTTCAGCTCTGGTATGCGCTAGACGCATGCGTGTACACGTACAAACGTGTGTCAAATTCAAACATAACATATAATAAACACGCTGAGAAATTTTAGAAAAACAACACAATATATTCAAGCTGACATTACTTCGATACCTGTAAATGGTAGTATGTAAGTGCCGGCTCCTTGTTGCCAACGCTGTTCGGACACCAATGCTCTTCCCGTAACTTCTCCAGAATTCTCAGACACACCTTTCTACATCCGCCATCCCGATCAATACTATTAACCAAGAACTCTTCACACTGTGAATATGACTGTGACCTACATGAGTAAACATGAGAGCGTGTGAATAAGTGTCACGTGACTGAGATATATCTAGTACGCATAGAACTGATGATATCACTAGTGTATTAAAACCAAACTCGTTGAAAACAACAGATTGGCAACAATGTTTAATCTATTCTTGTAGAAAATGTCCTAGAAATTGATGTGACACGAGTGATTCGACAATATAACTATAATATGTTCATATTTCTAAGTTACATATAGCGTCAATATTGTTTTAACTTCGTCTCCTTTACTACCCACCAATATAGGTCATCAATTGCCACTGAGTCTGTTCCAATTTTCCGGAGATCCTTAACTTTGAAACCTTGAGGCCACAGATGCGACCGCGGCCACTCGGAATGTACTTCGGATGGAAAACCGCTGCCTTCGGACAAGACAGTTGGGCGCAAAACAGCGTGAATGGCCCCTCTGCTAAAGTGTATACGAAGACGAGCGCATCCCTTTGGTGCGGCTAAGAGGGCAACAGCTCCTACAACATAATAACAAAATATATATAGACGTACAAGTCACAAGTAACTGAGATATGTTTCATAATTATATGATTTGGAGCAGCGGTTGCTTAGATAGAATAAAAAACAATCTTGTGCAGGCTCTACAGACTGAGGCATCGTTGTCACAGCGCTGAAATGAATTGGCATTTTGCCCAGTGAAAGAACCATTTAATCTTAACTCCACGAGTCCATAAAAGTCTAACCTCGTCAATGTCAGCAGTAATAACTACACACTCCTTCAACACTAAAAAATAATTTCAACAGACAACACCTTTGACTTTGAAACTTGGAAAATATTCAATTATGTACAACCGATATTAAAAAAAAAACAAATATGAAAACAAGATTCAAAACAACAGTTCTTCTTATGTTATCGTATTTTCTTGTCTGTACAGCAACAACACTTGCGTTGGCCTATTCAATACGAACTTACAGATCAATAGCTGGATAAACACGTCAAATAATCAATCAATTAGTCCTTCAGTTGTTTCACTCGTACAAATGTCTGTAAACACCTGGTATGAATAAAGCTATGACTCAAAATAAAATTTTCTTCGAA